AACAGAAAAGCTGTCGCTTTGCAGCACCAAAACTGTGTGTCCACTTGTGTTCACGTGTGTTCATCGTTCTCTCGCCGAGATCGGAATTCTGACAATTGGCATCAGAGCCCGGGTTCCGCCGTCGCCATGTCGCAGTCGCCATCCAAGAAGCTGCTGACGGGTGATGGCTCCGGCGAGAAGAAGCCACAGCCGTCGCATTCACCACCACGTCCCCGAGGTCGCTCCCATAGCCGCCGCTCGCGCACCCAGGACGCCGGGTCACGCGTCGTAGAGCGCATCGTCGAGCGGCCGTCGGCGAACGTCGCGTGGCCGATGTTGACCCGGACTAACTATCCGGAGTGGGCCCTGGTGATGGAGGTGAACTTCCAGACTCTCCGCGTCTGGGACGCCGTCCACCTTGGCATCAACGACGATCCCAACGATGACGAGTACCACGACGACAGACAAGCAATGGCTGGACTCCTACGCTCGGTGCCGTCCGAGCTCTGGAGCACTCTCGCCAGGAAGGGCACCGTGAAGGAAGCGTGGGACGCGGTCAAGAACCTGCGGATCGGCGACGAGCGCGCCCGCGATGCCAGCGCACAGCAGCTCCGCCGAGAATTCGGCGTTCTCTCCTTCAAGGAAGGGGAGACCGTCAACGAGTTTGGCGTCCGCATCACCACGCTCGCCTCCAACCTTCGCTCCCTCGGCGACAACATCAACGACGCAGAGGTAGTGAAGAAATTGCTGCAAGTGGTCCCGGACAAGTCAGGCCGCCGTCTCCCTCGAGATGTTCCTTGACTTGAACAAGGTCACCATCAAGGAGGTGATCGGGCGGCTGCGCGTGTTCGAGGAGCGCGCCAAGCCCAAGGAGGTCACGGATGCCATGGGGCGCCTGATGCTCTGTGAGGAGGACTGGGAAGCCCGCCGCAAAGCACGCCGTGAGGAGGAGAGCTCCGGCGGCAGCGCGGGATCCAGCAGACGCGGAAAACGCCGAGGGCGCGGTCGCGGCCGTGGGGGCGCAGGCACCTCATCGCATGATGGCCACGATGGCCAGAACGCGGGCACTGGGAACGCTGGTGGCGGGAAGCCACCACCCGGCGATCGCTGCAAGAACTGCGGCAAAACTGGCCACTGGGCCAAGGATTGTCGCGGTAGGAAGAAGGCCGTGGCCCACGTCGTGCAGGCTGAAGAAGAAGGAGCACTAATGTATGTCGCGGCGGAATCCAAGGTAATCACGTCGCATATATCTGCTTCATCTTCAAGGCCGTCGCAGCTTGTTGTCAAACCGCAGACCAGTGTCAACCTCGTCGAACGCAAGGTCCTCCTACACCTCAACAGCGAGGAGGAGAAGGAGGTCGTGGGACCTCGCTGCTGGGTACTCGACACCGGCGCGACAAACCACATGACAGGGTCGCGGAACGTCTTCGCCGAGCTGGACACCGGCGTCACCGGAACTGTCAAGTTCGGTGACGGGTCGGTGGTCGACATCGAGGGCAAGGGCACTATCCTCTTCGCCTGCAAGTCCGGGGAACACCGTCGCCTTGATGGGGTCTACTACATCCCGCGCCTCACCACCAACATCGTCAGCCTCGGGCAGATGGATGAGGACGGGTTCAAGGTCGACATCGAGTCCGGCATCCTGCGACTCTTCGATCTGCGGCGACAACTCCTCGCGAAGGTGTACCGCACACCGAGCCGGCTCTACTACCTCGACATGAACGTCGCCGCCCCGGTGTCTCACCGCTCGTGCCGGCGACGTCGCGTGGCGGTGGCACGAACGGTACGGGCACCTCAATTTCCAGTCGCTGCGGAAGCTGGGACGCGAGGACATGGTGCATGGTCTGCCCTCCATCGACCACGTCGAGCAGGTCTGTGAAGACTGCGTCTTGGCGAAGCAGAAGCGTACGCCATTTCCCCAGGCGGCGAAGTACCGCGCTCGGGAGGAGCTCGAACTGGTCCATGGAGACCTCTGCGGGCCGATCTCTCCACCAACTCCAGTCGGGAACGTCTACTTCCTTCTACTCGTTGATGACATGAGCCGTTTTATGTGGCTCACGCTTTTGCGCACGAAGGCGGATGCGCCGGCGGCGATCATGGCGTTCTAGGCCCGTGCCGAGCGCGAGACTGGCAAGAAACTGAAGGTGCTTCGCACTGACAATGGTGGTGAGTTTACTTCGGTTGAGTTTGGTGAGCACTGTGTAGGAGAAGGGATCAAACGCCATCACTCGGCGCCGTACTCGCCACAGCAAAACGGCGTCGTGGAGCGCCGGAATCAGATGATCGTGGGGACAGCCAGGAGCATCCTGCGCGCCCGCGGCATGCCCGGGCACTTCTGGGGAGAGGCAGTGCACACCGCTGTCTACCTGCTCAACCGGGCGCCGACGAGTGCGCTCGACGAGATGACACCGTACCAGGCGTGGTACGGGAAGAAGCTGCCTGTACACTTCCTCAAAGTGTTCAGGTGTGTGGCCTACATCAAGCGCCTCCGCCCGCACATCAGCAAGCTCGACGATCGCGGACAAAAGGTCGTCTTCATCGGCTACGAAGACGGGTCGAAGGCGTACCGCTTCTACGACCCCAGCACGGAGCGTGTCCACATCTCGCGCGATGCCGTCTTTGACGAGGGCGCGCGCTGGGAGTGGGGTGAGTCATCAGCAAGCCCCGAGCAGGAGCCGTTCACCGTCGAGTGTGAGTACCAGCTCAGGCGGGAACATCCGAAGCCTCGGTCCGCGAGTTCGTCTTCACCTGTGCCAACATCCCCGCGCACGCCGGAGGTACAGCCTGCGTCACCACCTCCAACTACTCCCAGCGCCTCCACGGAGGTGCAGGTCGAGTTCGTGACGCCGCTCACCACCGACGACAACCTCGACGCTGATGATGACGAGGACGTGGAGCACCGGTACAGAACGCTCGACAACGTTCTGGGCACGAACGCCATGCCCGGGCTGGCTGACCGCGAGGTCGGGGAAGCCGAGCTGCACAACGTCAGTGTGGAGGAGCCCAAGTCCCTGAAGGATGCAGGCGATGATCCAAACTAGACTGCCGCGATGAAGGAGGAGATGAAGTCGATCCGCGACAACAACACTTGGTCGCTGGTGGAGCTCCCGCACGGACATCACGCCATCGGTTTGAAGTGGGTGTACAAAGTCAAGCGCGACGAGAATGGGAGCATCGTCAAGTACAAAGCCCGCCTTGTCGCCAAGGGCTACGTGTAACGTCCCGGCATCGACTTCGAAGAGGTGTTCGCTCCCGTCGCTCGACTGGAGTCGGTGCGCCTGCTCCTCGCCATCGCGGCACACTATGGCTGGGGCGTTCATCATATGGACGTCAAATCGGCGTTCCTGAACGGGGAGCTCCAGGAGGAGGTGTACGTCCAACAGCCCCCTGGGTTCGTCGACGAGAAGCACAAGCGCAAGGTGCTTCGACTCCACAAAGCACTGTATGGACTCCGTCAAGCTCCACGGGCTTGGAACCAGAAGCTTGACGCCTCGCTGATGGGACTCGGCTTCACCCGCTGCATCAACGAACATGGGATGTATACCCATGGAAAAGGAGCAGTGCGCCTGATCGTGGCCGCGATGTGCATCATGACCGGAGTAAGCATATTGATGTGAAGTTCCACTTCATCCGGGAGTGCTGCGACAGGAAGCTGATCGACGTCGAGTTCGTTGGCACTGAACTGCAGCTGGGCGACATCCTCACTAAAGCGCTCGGGCGCGTTCGGTTTCCGGAGCTTTGAGGTAAGATCGGCATGAAGAATTTAGTTTAGTTGCTCTAGGACTTAGGAGGAGATTGTTTGAATAAGTCCTGAACCCGCTAATTATAGTATGTAGAAGGCAATTGGCGCCATTAGCGGCATGTCCCAGGGTGTTGGGATGGCAACAACCGATCATGAGCATGCCGTGATTATCTCAGCCATTTGTTACCATGTAATCCTGCATGTACTTCGTTTATTTAGTAAGAAACAATCAACAGAAAAGCTGCCGCTTTGCAGCACCAAAACCGTGTGTCCACTTGTGTTCGCGTGTGTTCATCGTTCTCTCGCCGAGATCGGAATTCTGACAACCAGCTATGGATATGAATAATTAAATTACAAAAATTCATGTGATCAGCGACCCACAAACAACATTTATGTCTCCATGCCCTTTGCCCTTTGAACTGATCTGTCAAAAGCTTATACAATTGAGACAGCCTATTTCGCGATTAGTGTGCAGAAAGCCAATAACGCTGAAACCGCACGGAGTGAAGCATCAACATGCAGATGACAATACCATAACTACAACAAATACCACTAAAATCGGTCGGCATTAAATTTTGGGGAAAATGGAAATATGAAATTGTGACGCGGGAGTAAGCAAAGATCCAGACACAGACCTGCTCCTGCGCTCCAAGGCCAGTGCCCTCCTTCCATCCAGACTTCTTCAGCAGCTGAAACAAATTGAGGAAACGAATCAAACCTAAGCAGCAGGGTGCCCAATCAGGAACTACCAGCCATCATGCGGGACATGGGGCGACGCACGTACCTGGAATCCGATGTTAGAGGACCCGATTGCAGCCATCGCCTCTTCTCGTCTCTTCCCCTCCCCTCCGGGCTCCGGCGCCGGGGCCGCCGCGCTCCTCTCTCTCGCTCTCCTTTGGTCTCAGCCTCTCAGGCCGTCAGGCGTCTCAACTCTCAACCGCGATGCGCCTGTTTGGGTGAGGTCGGTCTCCTCGTCCCGGGCCGGGCTCGGGCCCTTGCCGTGCCGTGCGCGGCTCAGACTCGTGCGCCGACCTGTGGGTCACGAGTCGGTATCTTCCCAGACTCAATCACGGCCGTCCGTTTCCGATCGGACGTCACACACCAGCACAGGAGAACGAGCCCTGGCTCCATATATCCACCGCACGGGTCACACGGCACGGCTGTTGGCCACAGGGGCACAGACCAAAAAACAGGTTCACAACCCGCCGCCGCACGCCGGGATCTCGATCGACTCCGGCTGCCGCGGAAAGCGGAAAGAAGCCAGGGACCGCGGGTCAAGATGCAGCTCTTCGTGCGGTCGCTGACGAGGACGATCACGCTGGAGGTTGAGCCGTCGGACACAGTGGCGTCCGTGAAGGCCAAGGTGCAGGGCATAGAGGGCATCCCGCCGGACGAGCAGCGCCTCATCTTCGCGGGGAAGCAGCTGAAGGACGGCCCCACGCTGGCAGACTACAACATCCACATGGAGGATATGCTGAACCTGTGCCTCCGCCTCCTCGGCGGCGGCAAGAAGCGCAAGAAGACGACGTTCACCACCCCCAAGAAGGGCAAGCACGAGCACAAGAACGCCGGGCTCGACGCCGTGCTTGGGCGGTACAGGGTCGATGAGGCCACGGGGAAGGTGGAGAGGCTGCGCAAGGAATGCCCCAACACGGAGTGCGGCCCCGGCGTGTTCATGGCGGCGCACGCCGACCGGCACGCCTGCGGCAGGTGCGGCCTCACCTACGTCGTCGAGAACCAGAGCGTGGCCGATAGCTAGGTTGCTTCATATGTTTTAGGAGTCGGATAATTAGATCAAGCAATCGTACTGGAATTTTTTTCTTCTGATTTCTATGTTTTCTTATGAATGCTTGGCTTTTCTTTTACATAGTTGTTATTGTCTGTCATTCGATCCGGTAACCCGCTGTTGATAAATCAGGTCGTTTGAGTGTGATTGTAGTGTTCGGGTGGCTTTATCTACTGCGTCTGCACTCTGCACTACATAGGTGCGTGCACTACATAGCTGAAACACCATGCACATTTCACATTTTGCAAACAGGGTGCTGATGGCAAAACAGAAGGCTAATCTTAAGTACCCCAGGTAGGTTAACCACAAATCCAGGTTATAAGCAAGGGTTGCAGTCATAGCTGTGATACATTGTTGAACGGAAAGAGAAACAATAAACCAGAAAACAAAAGGTTTTCAGTGTAGTCTGGTGGAATGCAACAGCAAATGAAGACTCACCAAATTTTGGTGTCATTGACTTGTCTATACAGATAGCTATGCAATATGTCAGGATCACACGTCGCTTTCCTATTCCAAAAAACATGTATGCGCCTAGCTACAATAGCAGCTGTTGGCCACAGCACCAAGTTCGATCGTTCATTGGCAAGGGACCTCAACTCTGGTGTCTACCCTAACAAAACTGTGCCCCTTCCTAGAAGGCCAACTCCTCTTTCTCTTCAGCTGCAATTGGCAGAGATCCCTCTGAGGCCGCGTCCCGGATCTTGTTAGCCTTCTCGTTGCTTATGCCCAGCAGGTACTGCAACCTTGATAGCTTCTCAGGCCTCGGAATGCTCTTTAGGTAGATGGCATATAGATCATCTAGCTCTCCTGGTGTGGGCCATGACAAGGGTTGCGATGCAGGGACCGCAGCGTCACATGCGAGCATGTCATTCAGAGATGAAACCTGCAAAAGGAAATTTATAGTTAGTGCACATACCAAAATTACATTAGTTTTCCAAAACTGACTTTCGAAATTACATTAGTTTTCCAGAACTGAATTTTCAAGGAGCAAATAAAGGGGAACTTAGTACCATACCACATCATCTCTCTTCTTCTGCCGAAGCAAGGCAATAGCCTGAACAAGGGAGTTCTCCAACCTAACCTTTGCAATATCCTGAACAATTGACTTGGCCTTCTCAGAACTTATTATGAGATCAGCTGGAATCTTTACATACATTTCCTCTTCATCGAAATCCCCTGTACCTGAAGAAAAGATCTCTTCAACAGTTTTCCTATAAATGCTTTCTCGCTGTGGCTCCGCAATCAAGCTATCCAGTTGGAAGTTTGCTTCTCTCAATCCTCGGACCTGCTGTATACCGATCTGACCCCGAGCAACAGAGGCTTCAATAGCAGAAGATAACTTTGTAGTTGTAATACCCTTAATGATTTTCTGTGCATTTTCAGTAGGCAATCCGACCTGCTTTTGAATCTTAGCGAGCTGGTCAGCCTTAGCCTCTGTTAATTTCCCATCAGCAAGAATTACTTCCGCCTGTTGCACAAAAGCTTTCTCTGCAAACTTAATGTGAACATCTTGAGCTTCTTTGCGAGTTAAACCAAGTATGTCACCCAATTGCTTTAGCATTAAAAACTCTGAATCGTCTTTCTTTGTAGAGATAGCTGTTCCAAATGATACGTTAGTCGTCTCCCCAGTGATGCAGAACATCAAGTATGTTTCATACAGCTCAGCCCTATCCCTCAATGGAATGTCATCCTTGAGAGTTATCTCTTTCTGGCTTGACTTCCTCAGCTTTTCTTTGAGCTCTTTATCAGGTCTAGTCTTTCTCAGTGTGTCCAATGATTCCCATTCATGTTCATCATCCTCTCCCTCAGATTCTGATGCTGCACTTGATGCTTCAGTTTCAGCAACTGGAGATATCTCTCCTTTAATGTCAGCTAAAAGCTCGCTAACAACAACTATGTTGAAGGAAATTAACTTCTTCAGCTCTTTTGCAGTTTCAATGCGGTTCCCAGCTTCTTTTGCTCTCTGAATGTAGCTCAAGAATAACTTCCGTACCTGATCATTTGAATGTGACAACTTAGAATAGTGAACTAGCTTTGCTGAAGGAATATATATAAAAGAATACACATAGCATATATCAGAGATCAGGAGAAAATAAGGTGGTATCATTTTTCAAAGGAAAGATACATACTGCTTTACTAAAGATCGCCATGGCAGCCTCCGGTTTCAGGTTTAGACTTTGTGCTGCCTTCCTAACAGCCTCTCGTCTATCAGCATTATATCCATCAACAGATGCAATGGCTTCCTTGACAACCTGAAATGTCCTTACAAATGTAAGAGAACTTATACAGAACACGCCATCAGCTTTGCCTGAACAAGATATGGAACAAAATCTAAACAACTACAAAGGAATTCAATCAAAATTTAGAGTCACCTTTTCGAACAGTTGTCCACAGATCTCAGTATGAGCAGCGTCCACAGTTTCTTGAGGGATGCAGAGACGCACTTGGAATGCCATCAGAGCTTCCACTTCCTCCTTGCTCAGCTCTCCATCAGCTACAAACTGCTGAAGCTTCTGTCTGTAAATTTCTGAAGTTTGAAGAGGAATTAATAAGCATGATATTCTGAATACTGGCAAGGCCAGAAATTTTTTGAATTAAAATCTAAAATCATAACTCAGAATGGCCTAGTTTGCATGGTACTAATATACTTATACATACAATTTAGAGTATTAGTATTATTAGTATTATGGAAATAGATGTGAGGCTTCTTTTGGTCAAAACATTTGTAGCATACTTTTTTGTTGGTGAATTTCATCCATGATCATAAGCAATACACTCAATATGAATCAAACTCAAGTTACCTTTCCAAAACATATATATATATAATATATATACTTCCTGCAGTCAAGGTATAGCTTTGACAATATAGCAGTCTAAAATAACAATGCAGCAGTATCAGCATGACAGCACAGAGATTACGGTGTAAAGATGCCTTGTATAACGGATTGCCTTTGAGCAAAACCCCTTATTTACCACAGCAGACAGCTGTGCCGTGGAATTAAATGTTGCAAGAATCGAGATAGTACCTTCATGCATCTTGCTAGCCAGTTCAGGATCAAACTGTAACTTCTCGCAAAGAATTTGGAGGAATGCTGCTTTGCTAGGTACTGAAGCCAATTCAGTGTTAAATGATTTAGCAAGTGTCTTTCTGTATATGTGAGCTTTGACGTCAGACAAGATTCCTTCTGTTTCCCGCTTCCCCAGTCCAAATATGTTTCTCAGTTCATTAAGAGGGGAAAGCTGCATTTTTTTAAGCACAGAAAAACTTCTGTTGAGATACTACAGAATAAATAACATCTTTAAGGTCAGAAAGCATGTGACAGACAATACAAGATGCCAGTACAAGCTGACGGTGATCTATTATTTTGATGAAGAGCAATGCAGCATTGCAAAATTGAACTGATCGACTAAAATCAAGCTAAATTTTCTGATGGGGCCTATTCCCATTTGCCAGATCTTCAATTTATTTATGGCTAAGCTCGATTGACTAGCTTGTGTGTTCTTTTTCTCTCTTGGTTGCCTGTTGCATGCCGCCTTTTCTACCTTTCACCTATGCAGGTTTGTCTTCATTTTCTGTAACTCCTCTTCATTTTTTTTAAAATAAAATGCACAGTAGGGGGGGGGCCTCCCCTACTGTATTTCCCCTCAAAGAAAAAGAACCCCCCCTACTGTATTTCCCCTCAAAGAAAAAGAACTAGAAAGGGTTGTATTAACTTGTCATCACACAAACAAGCACCATCAGTAAACTAGAAATTAAATCACCTTCTCATCATCCACAATTCCATCTGAAAGTACTTCTGTAGCATAGGCCTTATAGAGTATCTTGAGATCATTAGCTCTCCTATCATGATCATGCTCTCCAGCTATGCATGACACGCACCCAAAAAAAATATTAAACAAGGTTGAGCTCACTAAAAGTATGATTGCAAAAATTTTAACCGTTTTACCTAATGAAATAGGGCCAAGCCCACGAGCAAAACGATCAGCTTGAGGGTGTTTGCTTAATGTTGTAAGCAAACTATTAAATTTAATAACAATGTTCACTTCTTCCACAGCCTGAGTTAGACTATCCCTGCAATCACATGGTTCAGCAGTAAGGTAAATCCACCAATGCTCTGAAATGGTACGGTCTGAATCTATAAGCATGCCAACATTCAGAGGATAGACCACTCCTGCACAAGGATTCGTGCAGGGGCGGAGCTTCATTGAGACCAACATGGGCCATGGCCACTCCTGCTCATTTGTGATGTCCATTAGGTGTCTACTTATCAGCTTAAAAATAGCAAGCTCTTTCCTACTTAATTAATCCTAGCTGATTTCCCTGTCAGGCCCCTGCTGAACTTGCTGCCAAGCTCCGCCATTCTGGATTCGTGCTTTTGCTAATTATTACTGGTCAGAAGTCAAGCAATTTTATTTGCATCATCATGGTCTTTTCATGCTCCATCAGATATGCACAGGTGCCTTGGCTGCTACTAATGGAAGTTAAATACTCCCTCTAGTAGTAAAAGCATATGTATATACCAAAAATACTCATGAAATTTATTGACGGCACACCTACCTGATAGTTTATATGAGCGGAGTTAAAGTTCACATTTTAAAAAGAGATTTGACAATGTTATGGCGTTGCTTATGATAGACAAGACAATGCTGCAACCATAACATGGCAGGGCCATGTGTGAGAAAGGTTGGCACATAAATACATGATGGATCATCTCGTGTTTTAAACATGGGGTGAAAGACAGATTATTACCCATTGCTACTTACTATAAGGTATATTTTCTACATTATATGACCAAAATATCTACCAAATTGCAAACCAATATATACGGATTCAGAAAACTGGCTATGCTCTTTCCTTGGAATAACGGGCTATCTAGCTTAGAACATCACTCAGGTTTCTATGCACATCTAATAATGAAATCTGGTAACACGCTTCTCAAAGGGTAAGTAGGTTCCATACGGAATACGTGACT